GGCCCGGCCCAGCCCCGGGGCGCTACCGGGCCCTGCGCTCTTGGGCGCCCCGCGGGAGGCTCGGGCATCTTCTGGAAGATGGATCCTGGTTACTTAACACTTAACTTCCAAATTAAAAAGCTGATGAAATACGCCGTCGAGTACCCCTTGAATACAGCTTACGGGAGCTGCTGAGGTGTGGTGTAAACAGGAGCCTCCATTGCTAAGGCTTCATGGTGGCGGAGCTGCTGTTTACTGCTGAAGTCGGAGTAGTTTCCAGTGAGGAAGACTCCCTGACAGTTTTAGGAGCAGACCAGATCAATGATGTCACGGGTGCCGTGGCTGTCCCCAGGCGTCCCGCTGCTCGGTTCAGATCTGCTTTCCCGGGCTTTGCAAAGCCCTTTTACCAGCAGCTGGGAGTCCCGTGCGTCAGTATTTTCCTCGCTTTTCCACTCCTCTGAGCAGTGCCACAAGCACTTCGCAGGCACTGCTTCTCCATTTTTGTCTCCCTTATTTAATCTGACATTAATATAATTAATCTTTAGAACAGCAAAAGTACTTCACCAATAAACTTCACGATGGTTTTGTGTGACTTATGGAACATTTTTTTAGGGAAAAGTAACCTTTGTTTAAAAGTGACTGCAGTGTAAAATATTTACTGCTCAGGGTTTATTTGTAAACCAAGTCTCAACAATGTCTCTGCATTCCTTTCCTTGTATTTAATAAAAACCTAATTTTTTTAATTTATGACCCCACAAATCACTTGTCGTGAAGACAAGTGCCAGTACCGGGGACCCAAGTCTGTTTTCCCCAGTGATGGAGGAAAAGCAGCTGCTCCTACTTTGCGGAGAAGAACAGCACCCGTACCCAGAAGCAAACAAGCAGCAGCAGAGGGGAGACAGATGAAAGCTGTATTGGGTGCTGAAGCTGTGGATTAAATGAGCTAATAAAACCCAAGGGCAGAAGATGCTGTTTAAACATAACTTCCACTACAGCAGCTGAAACAGAGACTGTGGCTCCCCATACCACAGGAACAAGTTCTATTTTTCATTTCTCTGATGAAAAAAGTTAGCTCCTAGATGTAAAAAATTATCAATATCCACCAAATAAAATGTATTTATGGTTCCTAATTAAGCACTCTTAGCATTACCCACAAGAGAAAACAGGCTTGGATGTTCCCTTCAGGCAGCTGCTCTGTGAGAAAGTAAAGCTAAGAGCATTAAGCTTTGTGTTTGTGTTGGCTAGGTGCCATAGCTGCGTGTGAACTTTTATCAGATGAGTGAGATGAGCTACCCAGAGCTAGGGTAACTCCTAACTCCTAGCTATCTGGGAAAGCAAGGAGCCGCTTCCTGTGATACCGCGTAGCAGTCCTGGAGGATGGCAAAGTGCAGAATTAGGCCCGGGATGTTGGTGGGCGGGACGCCCCTCCTGCAGGGCCACTCGCCCCCGAGGGTTGACCAGCTAAAGCCCCAGCTCAGCTCTGCCTTTCTTTGAGAGGCTGTGAGTAGCTACAGCTCCACGTGGCCCACTGAGTCAGTGTGTCAGAAAGCATGGACTCTCCCAACAGTCTCCCCCATGCTGCCAGCAACCTGTTTCAATTTTCCTCATAATCCAAAGTATAAGGCAGTTTTTCCCACCCTGGTCTTCTAGGGAATATTATTCAGGAAGACGGTTTGAATTTACCTCTTTTAAGCAGCATTTTATTTTAAATTACTCACAGTGCAAATTGTTCTCTCCTGTACATCTTAGCTATGAAACTAACAGCTCGGGGAGGGGAATGTCAGGTTTGTCTTGTACCATTTTCCCTTTGTCTTCCCTCCCACCCCCGTGGAGACTGATGAAAAGATAAGCTTTGTAGTTCAGGTTCCCCCCCGGCCTGCCCTTTGTCATGTTGGTCCTTTCCTCCCATCCTGTTAAACGCTTCAATTTTTGCACTTTGATTTACTTCAATCTTTTGTGTATTAGCAAAAAAGCCCACCAAAACAAATTAAAAATTCTTGTAACTATTAAACCCAAAACTTCAGGATCCCCCCCTGACATCAAAGGCAGGCTGTCTGTCTATTGGCCTTAGCACACACTGGGTAACAAGTTCCCAGTGAAGAGAGAAGCTGAAACTGGATTGAGCCTCTCACTTCTCTGCCTACATAGAATCATTTAGGTTGGAAAAGACCATGTATAAAGACAGGGGCTTTAGACATCTCCAGCAAGAAGAAGCCACTGGAGTAGTGTGAAGGAAATTTTTCATTTCCCATGTACTCTCATCTCAGAGAGAGACTGCTGCAGCGTTGCGTACCACATGCTTTTCTGCTGTTTAACTCAGAAAAAGGAACTGCTGACAATCCTCTGTAACACTGGAATATTAGCCAATTAAATGCAAAAGGAGCACAGGTTTAAAAAACTTTTTACTTTCTAATTGATCTGCATTCCAAAACAATTTCAAATATGTTCCATTTACTGTAAAAAAAAAAAAAAAAAAAGAGGCAAGTGTTTCAGAAATTTAATGCCAAGTTTAACCTGCTTCACTATACAGCACAAGCTTGCCAATTCGATGGCATAAAGTTTTTTTTAAAAAAAACACACACCCCAAACTCTTTATTAACCTTTCATGCCAGAAATGTGCATTTTAGCTACGTTCGATTATGGACAGTACATTAATCCATCCAGCAGAAGTAACGTCTGGACAGGGGTCAGGTAAACTCTACGCTTTCTCATAGTGGCGAACAGCAACCACATCACCAAAGGTGAGAGTCTGCAAGTCCAAGGAAAAGACAGACACGTTAGATGCTGGACCATTTTCTGTAATGACTTAACAAATTAAGAAGTCCGTGCTAGAGCAAGGTGGTTTTACACTATGTAATTTATATCTAGCTGGCCTAAATTATTGATATTTTACATGAACAAGAGGCAAAGCCTCAAAGTTATGGATCCCATAATAAACGTAACTTTCCCCTTGCTACAACCCAAGCAGCACATAATGCATGCGTACAAGGCAACTGAAGTGAGACTAGAAATGACCGTTTCATTTTTCTTGTTTCGTGACTGATTTCTTAAACATAGCATTGTTTTAATACAGATTGAACACTTATTTTCCCAAAGCTGATCACATTGCAAAATGTGCAATCTAAAATCCACATCCTGTATGCCCATATTCTATACTGTTATGCACAGGCATCTACTTAACGAGAAGCTTGTTTTAAAACAAATGCACTCAGTGCACTTACGTAGCGAGAACTGCCAAGCATTTTGGTTACTGCAGTTGTGCACAACACTAACTACAGTGTGTGAGCTCTGGAGGTGTTTCCTGAAGCAGAACACAGCATCTCACCATGTTCAAATTCCAAAGGAAAAGGTTTTCTGTATATGCTTGTAGCTGTTTCCAAACCCAAAGCATGTATTTTCCCCATGAATCACTTGTCATGTTGAGCCACGCTGACTGTATGCTTTAAGGTTTTAATTATCTGGAAGTCTCCATCCATACAGATACTCTCTGAAGTACTTAGAAAACAAGTAACTGGTTTTCTCCATCAGCCAAATCACATAGATCAGTATAGCTGAAGAGATAAATTTTTCAAAGTTGCAACTCTGTGCCTAAAATAAGCATGAGAAGTACCACCCAGGACATTAGATACAGCACCTTACACCATTTATTCGCCCCATACTCCTGTTCTTGAAAAGTCAGGAAAAGAATGTGAATTTAAAACAAGACTTTTCTTCACACAATTGATCTTTATCGTAGTTTTTAATGAGACAGGAAGAATAAACCCTTTATTATTAAATATGAAAATGCTACTACCTCCTGCAATATTGTAATTTTATTTTCCTAGGGAAATACTTGCTCTGTGTAATTAAATATTTATGCGTACATATATAAACCAAGTTTTTAAAGAAATCTAAATTAGCACTGGCAACAGATCATTGCATATATAATTAAGAACTTTGTATCTTTTCCAGCTCACCCGGTCTTTTTTTTTTTTTCTTAGGCATTTACACAAACCCTAGAAAGAACACATACGGTCTGGAAATCCACTGGCTGGCCTGCCTAAAACCATTAGCAATTTTTCAGTAGCCAGTAAAACAAGACACAAACCAAAATAAATATTTGGAAAATCTCTGCTAGCTTTCCCCACCAATTAGTTTAAGGGTTTGTGTACAAGACCAGTACCACTACCTGTTCATAAAGCTTCAGATAAATGTAAGTGAGGAGCACTAGCGGTATACATGAATGCTCAGTGAGCTTTATACTTACCATTACCATTTTGCCATCCTTTATTTCTCTCACAAAGTTTGTCTCCTTGCCGTCCCACTTCTGTACGTGCACTAGCTTGTCTCCATCCAGGGTCACAACTGACTGTGAGATACCAAGAAACACAAAGACATTCATTTATTTGGGGTATTTGGGATTCTGCTCACACATCCAGCATGCACTATTCTATTGAATTCTCTTCAATAGATGGATGTGGATCTAGAATGATAAAGTAGTCCCAGCCATTTTAAAGCCAAGCCCATGAATCATCCTCGTTTTAAGCATGAACTCCATACAATTCTTGTTTGCGTCAAAGGATGAAAAAAGTTGTTTCCTTTGAGTTCCGGTCTCACAAGAACCCCCGTTTCAGATGTGCTCTGGGATGACATTTATGTTAAGCCCCCAAAGATGCAGGGAAGAGGGCATTTCCCCATTTTGACTGGAAAAAGTTACGCCAAATGATACTCAGATTGAAAGAGAAGTAGCAGGCAGCTAACACAACTCTGACACTGGAAGGCAGACGGGGGCCGGTCACACAACACATTGCTTCAGACAAGACATGGCGCAAGAGGGCAAGTAAGATGCAATCACGTCTTTTTTTTCCCCCTGTCCTTCACAGTGCTACAACTGGCAGTAGCAGACGTTACATTTTCTTCCCTTGACCCTGCCAAAGATACAGCCTCGCGGGCAGGGTTGGGGAGGAAGAACGGGTAAAAAGAAGCCACTGTAGCCCGAGAGTTCACTTACTTTGCAGTTTCTGTCATCGGGGGTAGTTTCATCAAATTCCTCTCCAAGCTTAAAGCTGATTTCTGTGTTTTTGAAAGTGCTCTGGGTCCTGATCACTACTTTGTCCCCCTCGCTGCTGATAATCACAGTGGGTTTAGTCACATTCCCCACCTGCCGTGTTGCAAACCCCACTCCTGGACCATCAAGGGAAAAGAGAAATCCGTCAGACATTCGCTTTTTTACATCTTTTTGGCCACACATGGAGGTACAGAAATCTCTTCCCCCGCTCTACAGCTTTAAGCTATCACAGTGAAAGGCTACTTTCCGCTTCGTTTCCGCCCTTACGCCTAAAGTATCCATAGGTACCCCCCACCCCCGCCGTACCTGCATCCTCCCGTACCCCCGAGCGCCGCGACGGGGAACCCAGCTCAGCAGCGGCGCGGCGGGACGGGTGACAACCGCTTCTGCCGCCGCGGGTTTCGGTTCCTTATCATTCCAGCATAATGATTTATTTTTTGTTTGTTTGCTTCCAGTTTATCTGCAGGCCGCATTTGCCCTTCTTTCGTACGCTTTCCCTAGCCCGAGGGGGGCACCTCCCGCAGCCTCTCCCCAGCGGGACGGCTCCCAGGCAAACGCACCCCGACCCCCCCCGGCTGAACGACCCGCATCTCGTTGACCCCGCCCGCAGGGC